CGGAAGTGGCGCTGTAGCTCAAGTGGTAGAGCGCTGGCCTTGAGCTGAAGAGCTGAGGGACAGCGCCCAGGCCCAGAGTTCAAGCCCCATGACCGACAAAAAAAAATAGAATTAGAGCTTTGACTTCTCGAAGGGCAGAAAAGCTGAGCCAGCTCATTGCCAAACTGCCAGCCAGTGCCTAGGAGACCAGGCCCCCCAGATTTCAAGCCCCCTGGAGGTTGGGGTTTGAGGGTGTTTATGCGGTCAGTGTACAGAGTCATCTGCCGTGTGGGTGAGGGCTAAGCAGCAGAGCCAGATAAAGCGCGAGATCTGAATTTTCCTCCCTCTGACGTGCAGAGGCTGCCTGTGGGTGTTTGTGGACAGTGGGGTTGGTGGTCAGTGGGTTGGAGGTAGGCCCGTGGCCTCCAGGTTCCCGGTCAGCACTCGAGGGAATGGCTGCCCAGGGCCCAGGCATGATCAGCCCACGCTCATGGGCGGTGCTGTGTTGCTATAGCAACCTCTAAAATGAGTAGTACAATTAAATGATGCTCTGGAGGGCTTTTAGGTTTTGTTTGGATTACAATCTGAAGTTGGAATCAAGAGAGATTGCAGGGCTGGAGGCATGGTTCAAGTGGTAGAGCACCAGCTGTGAGAAGAGTATTAGGCTTTGATGAGCAACGCTCTTGACTGCTTGTTTGCTTCTACGCTGCTGCTCTCTGTCCATTCTTTACCATTGGCCAGCTTGTTTGTTATTGGGACTTGAACTTGGGGCTTTGAGCACTTGGCCTAGCCTGTTCTGTTCCAAATTGGCGCTCTACCACTTGAGCCAGAGCTTTGCAACCAGCTTTTTGCTGATTAACTGAAAATGAGACTCACAAGGACTTTGCTGCCCAGGGTGGCTTTGCACCTCCACCTCAGATCCTAAGCAGTCAGGATTGCGGACGTGAGCCACCAGCATCTGCCTTAAAGCTCGATTTTGCGCTCAAGTCCTCTGCTTTCCAGCTTCTGGCAATGACCCCACCCCGCCACGAGGGGGCGCCCCAGCCCTTTTGCCTCTTGGCAGCTGCTCACAGGCTCAGCTGGAACCTGTCTCTGAGCTCTCATGGTGGCCACGTGCGGCCTGGCATCTTTAGGATGTGGAAACTTCTGAGGAAAGTCCTGAGCGCATCAAACTCAGGACCCGTTTACTGAGACGTCTAAATAAAACTGGGATGGCGGGAGCCACGGCCGAAGCGTTGCCAGCACCGCCTTGTATTTACAGGGCTGTCATCTCTTGTCAGATCTCAGCGAGGTGCTGCCCTCCAATGCAATCTCAGAGCCACCCACGCCTGCGGGCCTGCAGCATCGGGCTGTGATTGGTCCTGGGAACAGGGCTTGCACGTAGGGCGGGGAAGCATGGGCTTTCTACTGGACGGTGACTCGGCCCAATCACACGCACACACCGCTTTCTGCAGCAGACATTTTGTGTGTGGTTGGAGTCCCGGATTTGGTCTGGACAGCTGCGCCTGCAGGGCTCCTGCAGGCTGAGTCCTGGTTGGCTGTAGCCTGCTGTGCTGCCAGAGGCCCTGGTTTGTAGCTGCAGCCCAGCCGTAGACGGGCTGGTGGACTAAGGAAACCCGTGCGTGTCTCACTTTTCCGTCAATGCCGTGCGACAGAGTGGAGGGGCTGTAGGTCTTGGA